TACGCTACAACCAACCATACAAATTTGTCTCGCTTCTTTTTGTTACTGATTGTCTTAAGTGAGTATAGTATGATACAACTTCCAAAGTGCTATATAAACAAAAAATTACCTCTTTAGTATATACATTTTTTTTTAATGTATGGCCTCTCAAATCAATTAAATAACACCTGTAAATGCTTAGAATGTTGGACCCCCACCGGGGTTTTGGCCCTGGACTCCCGGAGGCCCTTGGCGGCCCCCTGGCCCCAGCCAATGGTGCTCGCAAGTGCCCTTTCAGTATGAAAAAGAACCCGCCTACCAAAATCCTGGCTACGGGCTTGTGCTGTTGATATCATCATCAACATAGACCTACTACCCTTCAAGGCTCAAATGAGCCTGTATGTTCCGACCTGGTCAGGCCCGTAGCCATGTTCTTCCAAGGGGGGGGGGGTTCTGGGCGTGAGCTCCACGGTCGAAGCCCCGGTGGGGTCGGCGAAACCCCCAAAGCAAGGGGATTTTTGTGCTTTATGGGTCTAAATAATGCTATAAAAGCAGATATGTTTTAAAAGGTCTTTGTCTGGGTGGGTCTGCAGTGCATTAGTGGGGTTGGGGGACTTAATTTGGGAAATTTGAGGAGTGGAGGTTCGCCAGAAAAGAGGGGGTTTGCTAGAAAAGGGGGGTTCTCCCGAACCATAAAACCCCCCTGCATACGGGCCTGTGGAAGTACGACTCAGGCAACGGTCTCAATCGAATTGGGAGAGATTCATATGCTTCTCAGCTGTTAGTTTCAATTGATAACGGGTGGACTAAGGACATATATGTTACAGTTATAAGTCCTTGGTTAGTTATAAGTCCTTGGGTGGACATCTAATCTGTTCACGTCACGGTCATTCCTGGGCTGATCAGTAATGCTTGGATATTATTCTTATCAATTATAATTATATTAGATCTGAATATCCATAAAGATGTTTTACTGATATTACACCTTTCGTGAAATGTGATCAGTTAGACACTTAGGATTGTCGCGTATGGCCATTATGGTGCTTTTTAAGATTGCGATATACCGGAATGAAAATCTCCGACTATACGTGCTTTAAACATCTAATCAAATTAAGTTCATTAGATCTACACGGTATATTGATTACCGTACATTTGATAAATCATAATTATAAAAGGAATGGCTTTTAGACCTACGGAGATTGAGCAAGCATACTGTATTTAATTGGTGTTGCAAACTATTCTCTCGATGTTCACCAAAAGCAGACGAAAACAGAAAGAGCCATGAGTATCACCCAATATGCAACACGTGACATATATAAACAATTTTAGTTTCCATTGCGTCAATTGATTGCTTACGTTTTCAGTTGCATATATTTCGGTATCACGTTTCTACTATATGCCCACATTTCCAGGTAATAACAATATCACTATACCCGTAATGTACTCCTCCCTTATACGATGAACTAAATAACACGGTATTGATACAAGTAAATAATAATTACGGTAATAAACTGGACCCCTTGGAGACTAGTATATTTATTTATAGGGTTGCCACAATAAAGAATAGTAGTGTAATATTGTTTACTCTAGCTATCTAGGAGGTCGTTGCATTGCTGCGTTTTTGATGATTTCTGAGTTGCTCTCAGTCACCTTGGTTACTTAAATAAATATAAAGATTGAATAAGTGAAAATCCAGTTGATTATATAATGATAACTGAAATGAATTTATTACCGGTTCAGGGGGGCGGATTTAGGTTGGGGCGGCCCGGCCCCGGCCCCCCCCCCCCTTTTGGGAGGTAAAAAAAAGAAGAAAAAAAAGAAAAAAAAGAGAGAAAAAGAAAAAAATAATAGCCCAGAATGCCTCAAATGTTATGTTCGGGCGTCTAGAACACAGAAATTTCGCGGGGGCATGCCCCGGACCCCCTACGACAATGTTGTCTCAATTGGCCCCACTTTCGGCCCCCTTCCGGCCCTGTCTCTTATACACATCTAGATGTGTATAAGAGACAGGTATTATATAGAATAAAGATTGTATCATGATCCAGAAAAATGAAAAATTAAATTCAAAATTTTAATTGATTAATTTGTACAAATAATAATTAATTATCTTACAATACAATATAACCTTTTGCATATGAAAAAGTCCCATCAATTAACGGACACTTAAATAATACCTCAGACGTAAATTGCAATTAAACATTTTGAATGTAACAAAAACAATCTTTGTCAATTAACGGACACTTAAATAATACTTTTCCCGTATTTTTTGTATAGACTGTTAAATTAGCTGGAACGGTCATATTTAAGGATTTTTGTAGAAAAATGTATGTAAATCAGCGAAAACTATTTTTTTCGATCTGTCTTTTGTTGAAAGTTAAATCTCTTAAATCTTTGAGGTTTATCCTACTTTTTGGCAGACGTGTATCTATGATATTTATTGTAGACGTACTGTATAATAGACCGACTCCATTCCTACTGTTAATGTTAGTTACCACCATCGGCTACCGTGCAGGCGAACCTTTTAACCTTTAAACATTCAGAAACCAGCTTACGCCACAGACGTATTCTTGTCTTTATCTTGTGGATCGAGCACGACATCATGACTGTGTACCGGGGAGCTAGAGTAAAGAAAACAGGTCAACACAGTGTTAACACTACTTAAATGGAAGCTCTGAGTATGCAAACCTGCGGTTTCGCGTCTACTTACTGTTTATCGATTTATAAAAGGGTGAACCGGGTGGTCAATTGCACACGTGAGGAAGAAGAAGCTATCTTTAACTCTTTGACAGGGATACATTCACTATCACTGTTCATTAAACATTTTGCCAATATTAAAGATAGTCACCAACCAACGGCTTTGATTTCGCTGGGAATCAGGGGTGGCGCCAGCGGGGGGGGGGCAGGGCCCCCGTTGGGGAGGGCTGCCATCTCCCTCCCGTCGGGCAGAAAAAGCACATTTCGTCGGGGAGAAAAAAAAATGTATTTTCTACATAGGCCTATTAGACTCTAAAACCGATTAAATAAGCCTTTGAAACCCCTAAATTGTCAAAGTGTTCGGGGCTTCGCCCCTGGACCACTTTCGAAACCTTTAATCGACGGGAAAATCTGACCCCTCGTCGGGGCAATGTTGCTAATGGACGTGACATTACTGATATAGCGACGATCTTTTGATAATGAAGAGGTTGATGATAATGAATTTAATAATAATGATGATGATGATGATGATGATGACGATGATCAATGATGATGATCGATTTATTGATTGGTGGAACAGGATCAGCTGTCTATTGATTGATTGATATATCTAAAAATAGGTATACAGTATATAGCGCCACCAGTACCTACATGAGAGGATTTAAAAATAGAAGTTTCTTTTTTCTAAACATGATCCGTCTCTTTATACTGAAAAACTGATCCTATTGTGCCGGTTGTTTATACAGTGTACGTTGTCGTCGCTTTTTCGCGACTCAAAACCCATGCGGTTTGAACGCCAAACAAACAACTCGAGCGATTCAAAAAGGGCCAGGAATAAAAATAATTTGGAATGCTCGGGGCAGATTGATCAATGGGTCGTAACTAAGTATTTTGAAAGGCAGTCTAGCAGAACAGTTCCGGTCCGTTTGTAGTGACTTGTTACACCACTGCTATCGACACTTGGTTAATCACAAATAACTGTTTTCTTCTGTTTTCATCCTACTTCAATTTTCAGAAAATATACAAATAGTTGTTGGAAATCTCACTGGAATTCATTTCAAAGCTACCAGGTTGCCCTATTTCAGACGATGAATAGACTTCTGATATTGAGGATCCGTGGATGAAAATAGGCCTATTTTAAACTCGCTCATCTATCAACTTGTGTAAATATCGTGAGTTCTAATAAGACCAACAAATTTATAGTTGTAATTATCGTTTGCTGTTCTAAGAAAGTGCCTAAGATGTTAATGGGTTGTATAATGGATCAGGAAATGTCAGCACTCAAGTGCCGTTGCATAGTATTAACTCGATAATACAGACAACACTTAGCGCATCACCAAATACATTTGCAAATTTGTACAGGGCGGCATTCCTGACAAGATACGCAACTGCGGAACAAGGTTTGTATAGTGTCGAGTTCAAAATATAAATCAAGTCATCACAAACATAGTTTTGGTGTGTTTGGTGAGTTGTTATATGCTTTTGAGTAACGGAATTTCAGCATGACTACAATTGGGATAGTTTTGAGCTATCGCAATACTGTATAACCACGGTGATGTATTAATAAAAAGCCAGCATTTCTCTATTATGTAAAAGTTCAATGCTCTTTAAGTGAAAAATATTTTTTGTCTTTTACGTTGTAAAAGACAAAATTAAAACGTTAATAAGTGTTAATAAAGCACAGTTTATGTTACATATGGTACAGTAGAAGTTCTCCTTTGTGGCAAAAACATTGACTCCATGGACATGAACTTTATAAGAGGACACTTTTGACCGCGAAGAGGAAAAACATATATTTTAACACTATTTTAACCCTTATTCAGAGGACACCCCCTATAATAGAGGGACAGTTTTTGTATCTCCGTTGTAATTTAATAATACAGTATAATAATAGTGTATTATTATCAGGTCAATTAGTAGAATATATAATAATAGCCTATTTTAATTACCGGGTACCATACTTTTGCATAAGTTCATAATTTTTTTCTATATATTTTTTTAGAGACATATTTACAAGATATTGTTGCATGCCTAGGTCTATTATTTTCTATCAGTTATTTTATTCGTTTGTTCAGCCTAATTACATATCATACGGTAAAAGCCTATTGGCAAACATATTTTCAAAAAATAATTATATTATACCGGTATGTGATTTTTGGCAGAAGTCTAACTTTTGGTAAATGGAAATTCACAAAGATGACGGTATTGAGCACCGTTGTAAGTATATCAGTTGAAGAATTATAGTTTTGAATTTAAATAAGATTCAAATAGCATCCAGGAATTATATATAGGCATGGCCAGTACGGTAACGCTACACCGCCACGTTGAAATCACATGGAGAATAAGGCAGTGAACCGGGATTTGGACAAAATTAATGTAATGAATCCATTTTTTTTGGCGAATTAGAATTGCAAATTATGTAATGATATGCCTCCCAAGATAAAGTACACCTTTATCAATGCCCGAATAAAGATTTATTCTATACTGGTGAAATTCAACACGGGATTGTGGACAAAATTACAATCTATTTGAAAGGGCTGGTATGATGCCAAATTTATTCTTTAACTGTGTGTTAAGTCGCAAAACATAAAAAACTAAAATATCGATTCCAAGACATGAAACAAATTACATTTTAAAATAAGACATTGACTTTATCGTCGTGTTATTATTAAAATTCTTAAATTTTGTAATTATCCCAATTTAAAAAAAAAATCCAAATTTTGTAGACTTTTTAAATCACTCACTTTTTTTTATCTATTTTATCAATCGTTTTATTGGCTATATTAATCTGATGCATCGTCTTTGAATCTTTGTTGTTTTGTAATTTATTGTAAGTTTATTTGGCCAAGGGGTTTGACTTTCTGATTTGTGAATTTCTGCCGAATGTGTAATAAAAAGAAATTGTTTGTTTTCCAGTTAAAAAAACTTCACTTCTGACCTTCTGGGTGGGACAATCATACACTGCTCATTGGGCCCTCGGTTAAACAAAATTTAGTAATTCAACAGAGGTTAACGTTGTCGTAACACGCAACATTAACCATAACAGTATTCATCTCACATAATTAGATACATAATCTGAAATTGGTTTGTTTGTATTAGTATTCAAGTGTGCAATGTCTCGCTATCGAAAGCATAAGTAACGGGAATTGGATATCTTCTTTTTTTCTAAACTGGACCTAATGATGGACCCACTATATATAGGTACGGTAACTAATATTAGGTTGTCACTTAAGATAAGTACAAATCTGAACAGTAATTTTGGTAACCCAGATAATACGCATCGTTTCTAAAACTTAGCGTTAGGCCTACTTATGCTTCAGATTATTTAAAAAAAAATCAACACGAACATGTTGATTCAAAAACATAACCCACAAGCCAGCTGTTCAATACAAGTAGGAAAGCTCTATCACGTTAAAAACTAAAAATATATAATGACAGATGTAAGAATACAGGGTGCTACTGAGTCACATAGATCGAGTGGTCGAGTGACCGAGCAGTAAGGCAGGGGCGCCACTAACTGCAGCCTAACACCACGCTGGTTCGAGCCGCCCCTCGCCCAGGGCTCGCTTGGTAGAACCAAGTCTTCTCGAATACGAACTAAAAATATAGGTCCAGTGTACACATTTGACTTGTGTGCACGTCACGTTAACGAACCCATTGCATCTTTAGGAAGAGTAGGGGTTTACCCCAATGCTATCGTTCATTACAGTCCCTGTCGTTGTGGAATGGTGGATGTGAACATATGTAGCTACTGGTATAAGCGCCTCTTTACGGCGGCTAGGTAGTCACGGACGCTGCTAGTTATTGGTTATTCTCCTGCCTTTACATTTAAATAAATCTTCTTAAGTAACGCTCACAATGTGACCCCATATAGTTTATGATATTGATCAAAGGCCTCATAAAACTCCTAAAGGTAGTAGTTACGCTCAGAATTTAACCTCATATTTTTATGACATTTACTATAGGACTATTATGTGCCTTGTATCTTGTTTGTAATATATTTAACTACGTATTTTATATAATAATAAATGCTATGAAATGCCTAGTGATTAATGTGGATCTCTCTATCTATTACACCGTCTATAGTATCATACTGGTTTTATTTTGGAAAAAGTTTAAGCAACCACGTCTTGAAAAATTCGTGCAAGTCATGTCTGTTTAACATGTCGCCATGACGTAGAGTTGACATTCAAGCATAGCATTTAATTGCAATGTAAATTTACACGAGAGTTTTATTTTACAGATACATACAATATGACACAGGCCAAATCAACTCAATATATGTTAACCAATCAGGGGAAGCGGAATCAGTCGCAAGATGGAACTCTTAACAATGGTGCAGATAGGTCTACAATGCGATCATCATCGTCTGCAATTTTAAGACGTGGAAGTGCACCAGATTTGTGTGATCGTCTCTTGCCACCAATTGATGATGGCAAAACAAACCGATCATTTAGTCCACTGCAATCGTCATACTCACCTATAGCAAACCAAACAGGCTTAGTACCTTTTGAAAGAAAAATTAACCATAATAATGCAAACTTATTCTCAAAGTATTCTCCAAGACTATCAGCATGTAGCATAAGCCTGTCAAGTGAAGCTCTGTCACGGAACTCGTCGAATCCAAGCATTGTTAATCATACATTGGCGGGGCAAGCTAATTCTACCAATGCCAGTCCTAACTACAGAGCTGCTTCGTTGACGGGGTTATCCCCCGTTCCCCCAGATCTTGTAACAACACGAAATCATGGAATCCCTGAAATAAAAACACTGAAACAAACTCCAAGTCTCGTTAGACGTAGACATGTGTCAGAGAAACATAGCAGCAATTGTAAGAAAAAGGAATCCTGTAACAACCACGGCACATATGTTGGCTTAAAGAAATCTAACACGGAGACAAATATACTAAATCACCGTCTAAGAAAGAACACGACGCCAAAATTAAGAACACTGCCAACCACTACGTCCGATTCACAATTGACTCCAGCAACGCTTCAAGGAATTAATAACTCTCAGTATGACAATGAAAGCAATTCCTCTGATCAGAATGACACAAGAATTATCGAATGGCTTCTAGGCGTCGAGACAAACTCAGTAAATTGGAAAGACGGTGCCGGCCATGGTAGTGAAAATGACGGGGAAAATAATAATATACAAGAGACAGCTATTAGGATTGTCTATGAAGACCCTTAACCTTTATTATATGAAGACTAACATACCATTGTTTTCTGATTCTAAAATAGGTGATTCTCAACACCTCGAGAAAGAGTAGTTTTAGTGCTGGCATCATAAAATCAAATCTATTATAAATGAAAAATACGTCATACACATTTACATAGCATGTATACGATTAGAATTCTGTAAGATAACGAGGACCAAACTTTAATTTAGGCAGACATTTTTTTGGTAAAACCATGTCATTAATAAAGTTCATCCACTGTAAGCATTGGTCGTCCAATTTATAACGGAATGGAATTACATTTTCTTAGTCTGTAACCGACTATCGATCTGTGAGATGATTTTTTTTTTATGAGTGGCTTGTTTTATCACCAGGCATTTTGCCAAATTGTAACGTTGCGAACTGTTGCTCTCGCAGGTGTTGGAACTAGTGTTATAATATCCAATTTAGGAACTAGGTCAATACTAAAATTTCTTCAGAAGACCATAAAAAACCTCAGCAAACCAATAACTCTCCTTATCTCGGATTTTGAATATGACTATTGCCTTTATTTGCACATATTATTAACAAATACAAAAACTCTACAAGAAATGAAGGAGCAAAGGATATTATCAGTCAATAAAAAACTATAACAATAACAACAATTTGGACTTAGTGAGGATGACAACCATATGTTTTTTGATTGTATACATTTAAACATATTTTGGAGAAAGGTTAGTAGGGTTTTACGAAATGTAAAACATGTTAACACATCATTTAGGAACCTTGTGCTTGGTACGGAAAATATATTGTAGATTTTATTTACACCGTAGCAGCCTTTACGATTTACAAAGAGAAAATACTATCGGAGTTGAATAAAACAATTTTTAAATCACTTTGGAGTTCATTTTAAAACATGACATTTTATTGAGATTAAAAATAGAATTATATAATAACAAAAATAACGGAACACAAAATATTGAAATGTTGAAGGACATTATTTTAAAAATGTAGATATTACGAAGCTAAATAATTGATGAAAATTAGCCTAATTGTGAACAAATAATTATATTTTATAGAGAATACCTTAACGTTTAAACAAAATGAAGAGTGCATGACCTACCTGTTTATTTATTCTTTTGTACTTTTTAGAAGAAAGAAATATTTTTGAAACTTGAAAAAAAGGTACTTGCATTGTAATGAATAAAAATCACGTGGTCATTTTTTGTAGGCCTATATTTTGTTGCAAAATGTGAAGAATGGAAATAAAGGTGGGAGATACCCACAAAAGAGAAAAAAAAATTATAACAATAAAATCATGTGGGAGTTGCTTTTGTTGAGAAACATCAATACAGTTAGTATTAATATAAACTGTAAAAGGTTAACGACTTTGATTTATTCAGCTGCATTCGAATTGATAGTAAATAGTAAAACTATAGTAAAAAAAATGTACTTTCCCATTGGGATTTGGACAAAAGACTCTCCAGGAATTGAAATAGACGGGGCTCAGGAAGGGACTTTCACTGATGGAGGGATATACCACCTCAGCCCCATCATGATTTGAGTTGAGGTAAGAAAATTTATTATTATGGCACTTTTTCGCCACTGATGAAATATTTAAACAGAAATTACAAATAAATTTTCCGACACCAGCGGAAAAACTCTTTGTGTCAAGTGGCGTAGGTACACCCCAATTGGTGTCACTCGGTCGGCGTAATAATTTCAACCTATTGCATTTCCTCGTGTGGAATCATAACCGGACCCCTTTTCTCCTTGCGGATTGTAATTACCTCGCTCCGTGCACCGATAACTCCTTGGAAATTCTTTTTCCCGCCTGCCACCCCTTCCTCCTCCAATACACTAGGGCGCTACGGCACCCTGCCGCTTGGCTTGTTGGCCACTTTAAAGAATTTTTACTATGGAAATTAATTTAGGGACCGATCGTGTGCGACGGTCCATTCGCCTTTTGTCTTAATAAATCACGACCGAATCACACTATATCTGATCATGTGTTACTTTATTGTGTACAGTGTATTGAGGGTGACGGCCAAGAGTGGGTGGGGCCTTATAGTTAATTCTTAGCCCAGTAGACACAAATAGGCCTATGTATTTGAATATTTCAATTTAATTGCAATTCAAATTAGGCTGACCTGCTTTTGCTACAACAAAGTCATTCAAGGGTCATTATTCTAAAACATTGTTCAGAATTCTGTTAATCAAAGATTGAGATCACCTGCTTCATTATAAAGGGGCAGTGAGGAAGTGAAAATGGTATTTTGCAAGAATAAGTTAGAGGTCCTTGACGGTGGTCCTTTGCCCCCTGGACCCCACTTGCGCCGCCCCTGATGGTGAGACAGCTAGAACGGAGCGATTGAGAAATGAGATTCGAAAACCATTGGTATAATTGAATCACTTTCGATTTAATTTAGAAGAATACGAAAAAGAACAATATGGCACGATCATCTAATATAGGGTTGGTGAAAACATTTAAGGCTGGACGCAGGGTTCCCGGAACGCCGCCCTCAGCGGCGAGTGCGAAGCACAACTCGGGCTCAAAAGTGGAACGTGAAATTTGGATATGGTTTTGTAGTCAGATTTGCGAGAAAAACTTCAGCTACCCGTATTTCTCGACTGAGACGTCAGTAAGAGCTGTAATTTGTATGGCAAGGAGATTGAGCAACCTTTCATTCATATTAAGGGAATTTACGCCCAGAAACTTTGTAGTTATTAATATTGTGGTTATAATAGAAAATATTCATTTTTTGGTGACGTCACACTCACGTCATTTAGCATGCATACGTCATAAGTTAGATACGTCACCTTTTCCTGGTAAGGCAAACTTTCCCGGCGTGCTTTTTTCATGGATAAACAAACACCACTGCTTTGCACATGGATGCCTTGCCCAAGCCAGAGATACAAGAGCC